GATGGTCTTGTAAAACATATCCCATCTTCAGAGATGTTAAATGTGGGAGAAATAAGTTTGTTTTCAGAAATGATGAAATTTAAGGCCTGAATAAAATACACGGAAACTATATGACAATGTAAAACCATAGGTACCAAAGCCCCAAAAGAGAGATCTACAACAGAAAAGAGTTTTTTTTTTCCTTTTTTTAGTTCAATGCTAGGATCAATACCATCTTCCAGCACTAATCCATTTCAGCTTTTGTCGCCCTCCCATCTGCTTCCTCCCCTCCTCTCTGAGTATTCCCCCTACACTGATGTCCTCCCTGACACCAATTAGAGCTGGCAGGGGAGGACACAGAACCCCCTGCAGTACTCCCCTCAAAGAAACCATTCTTTTTTAAAAATGTTTTTCATCTTAATACCTGCAGTATTCTCTTCTCTGATATGGAAAAAACCTCTAGAAGTTACACAATTGGAGCTACAGACAGAGGACCAGAGTTTCTTATGAAGAGGATCCTGCTATTAAAAATAATGACTGCATGCGTGAGCATGGTAATTCTCATTTTTACATATACCACAGCGCTTCTTAAGCCATCCCATCTTTTTTCCCCTAAAGTGCACCATAAGTCACAAATGGCCTCATTTTTTATTCAGTTCCATAAATATTTACTCAATACTTTAGGGGTTTCAATGTCTGCTTGGTTTGGGGACAAAAGCTGAAGAGAAGTTCCCACCCACATCAGGCACTCACTCAGTGTAATTGGAAGAAAAAAAACACAAGAGGCAGGTTAAATATTGCATTTGTTTTCTATGTCTAATATAGACCTTTCTGTCTCTCCCCTTTCCCCCAACCCTTCTGAATCTGTAAGGAAGAGCTATAAGAACAATGCCTCAAAATGTCAGCAATCTTAAAATTAAATTGTCAGCTTTTTCTCTATACTGCAAATTACAAAAGAATTAGAGGTTTGGTGCTAATAGAAGCTTACAATCCTAAAGTGTGCAATTTAACCAATCATCTGGAGGTCTAAAAATGTAGTACCCAAGACATTTCTACCAAGAGATCTGCAGTTCTGGTACCTAATTTCAACTTCTCTACTTCCACCATCCTTCCCATTTTTTTCTCTTTTTCTTTTGATTTGGAAATGCTACACAATTTAGTGAAATCTGCCCTGAGCTCTCATATATGTAATATCCTCCACATGAAAAACTGACAGTCATCTTAGCAATGAGATATAGAAAAGACAATGAACATCTACAGCTGCTCTGTAGATCTTCATATTGTTATGCTTACATATGTTAAATTCAGAAATCAAAACATCAGATGTACTTAATAGTTTCAGAATCTCAGTTCTTCCTTTTATAACTTATGCAACACTAATTTGAGAGAAAACATGTCTCAGTTCTCTGCACTAGAATTCTAAATGAGGATTAAAATGCTAAATTATAAAATAATTAGCAAATAAAACAAAAATTTAAATGGCAATCAATTACCTCAAATTACTGCAGGTATCACTACACTTGTGAAACCCCAAGCTTTAATTTTTTTTTCCATTACCAACTGTAAGCACATCACTTAAAAACAAATGAGAAAGAACACTGCTTACCCAGAAAATGAACTGTACCTTTAAACAGACCATGTACTTTTAAAAGAAAACCCCAAGAATCTAAACCAAGAATCCTATTTTGGTGCAAAAAAGAGTAAGAAACAGATTGACTCAATGCATTATTAAAATACTGACTCATTATTCTGATTCTTTAGATAATTTTTTAAATTATAGTATTTTCCTTCACAAAAGGAATATTCAATAATTGCTACTGTTTAACCAAAAAACTCTTCTTCCTTGATCTTTGAGACATATTCTCCCATGCAGTCTTATATTCACTCTTTTGGTCCAATTCTCCAAACAATACCTTGTGGCGCAGTTCAATGTGAGAAGAGTCTCATTCATTCATCAGGCAAAGTTAAAGCCAGGAAGATGCTTCAGACAGTCTGGTTTTGCCTGCCCCACCCTTGTTTCCTCTGAGCCACAGTGATGTCACAACACCAACCAGGGCAATGACTTCACTGCTCCAGTCCTTGCTTCTGAGCACATAATTCTATACAGCCAGGGCAAATCAAATGACAGTAAAATCCTCCAGGAGCCCAGCGTGTCTGATGAATTCCCAACAAATTAGCAGCTAGCAAGCCTTCTGAAAGAAATAGATGCTGCAATTGCACCATTAAGGATCTCTCTAAATGAAGTGGTGCTAAAGATAAATTTGATTCATGGTTTTCAATGGTGCATCCATGCTCCATAATAAAGTTGACATCCAAAAGGGAAAACTGATGGGGTACTTGGAAAAGACTGTGAGAAGTAAAGATGATCAGGGGGTACTACTTAAGAAACCTCTCTCATTTTAGTCAAATTCTCAAAGAAAGAAAACACATTATGTTTCACTCTACCCTCGAAGTTCTATATTACTGGTGAGGGACATGAATTCTAATTTGTCAATTCTGAAACTTTTTAAAAGCATTAACTTAAAAGATAAATGCACATTCTACAACAAGGAAGAACACACTTGTACAGAAAGTTCCTGCCACACTTAATCCAATATATGGTAAATTCAGAAAAAAAAAAAGCCACAAAATGATGATAACATCATCTCTTTTAAGACTTGGATTGTTGCCCCTCTTCTACTTAGGTGGTTCCTTGATGCATCTGATGTATCAGTTTTTAAAGGGCAATATATATGTAAATGTTTGCATCTGATCAAGTTTTTAAAAAATCATTGATCTAATATTCTGACACAAATCAAAGTTGGCCCAAGTCCAAGCACCAGGCAAAATTGGTGACAAAAACTGCTTTTAACCTAAATCACATTCATGCAAAAGGAATGACTTAAAAATTAAATGTAAATATTTCACTGAGATGCTGACCTTTGACCTACAGCTCCTCAGTTCTTCACTTAAAAAGGGTTTATGAATTAAAGTGGCTACTCTTGACACTGATAAATCATTTACAAAACATGGGTTTGTTTTTTTTTTTTTCACAAAAGTGACTTGCTTAAGTGTTCTAGCTAAACTTTACGCAATAATTTGTGCATCTAATTATTTTTCTTTCCTAAATCATCAGAAAATCATAATGCAAAGAGACAGTGTTTATCATTCAGCTTTTATTAGTGCCTTGCAAATTAACACATTAAAGTCACGATTCTCTAGTCTAGAATTGTTTTCCTCTCATAATAATTTTGTTACTCCAAATAAGGTTTTAAAAGTTTGATGCCAAAATTAACATACTTTTTTTAAAAAATAAATACCCTCTCTGAGCCAAGATATAAATCACCTCCCAGGGCCCAACATTCACTAGGCTTTGATGTGTTCCTTTGTTGTAATTGGTGCTAGGTTCATGGCTCCCAGATATACGTGGAGTTTACCATTTTGTTTCCTTGAGCCTTTAAAACTCAGTGCAAATTTCAAAAAGAATGTTTTTAGCATTTGGCTTGACTACTCCTCTATTTGGAAAGTTAATACTACTTAGACAAACTCCAGCACACCTGGATGCCTCAGAGACCCTAAAATGGGCCCAAAAGAAGGACAGGAAGGATATCTGCAAAAGCAATTCCGCAAGACTAATGTAAAAAAGCTGAAACACCAACTTAAACACGTAATGGAAGCACTGCATTAGCAGGACTGCCTGGCCCTCTCAGGATTTCCCAGCCCAGCCTCCACACGTAATTAATACCACATGTTTTCTTTATCATTCTATTTGTTCCGCAACAATCTCTTCCCAACTTTAACCCTGGCCTGCAAAGGCAGGAAAAACCCCTAGTAAACTTCAGATCCCTACATCTAAGAAGAGAAAGGGAAAAGAATGCTCCCCACCGCAAAGGACCACAGTTACAATTTACTAGGTAACCACACCCACCGCATTGCAGAAGCCATGAACTTGGCGCGGGGGTGAGAAGTGGGGAGAGGGAAGGGGGTAAGGAAGAAGTAGGGCGCGATTAAGACAGGAAACCCGAGAAAGCGAGCCCCTGCGGCAAAAGCCAGGAAACACTAGTCCGAACTGGCTGAGACCCCGACTCCAGCGGTCCCAAATCCCGGCCTCCCCACCCCCACCGCCGCAGAGCCGCCTTCGCAGACACCTCCCAAGGCAGCTCRCAGCGCGGCAGGCAGCAGGCGCCAGGTGAGCAGCACCCTGCCGCGCCCTGGGCTGGGCCTGCCCGCGGGGAGGAGGCAGGGGTTAGGAGACCCGCAGGTGCCCAGACCCGAAGAAACCTCGTTCTGACGCTTCTCTCTCCTCCCCCCTCCCCCCACTGCCCGGCAGTGCTCCCGCTGCCGACCAGGGACGCTGCCCCAGTTTGGGGAAGAAGCAAGTTACATAAAAGCGGTCAGCTCCGCTGTGGAGCAAGGATGCTTTGTGCCCCGCGCACCTTACCGGTCCCACGCCGCACCCGCCAGCGACTGCACCCGGGATGAGCCCGCAGTCGCTGGGCGCAGGGCCCCTCCCGCAGCGGGCCACACGCCCAGGGCGGCGCCGCAGTGTCGCCCCCCGCCCTCCGCACCTCCCAGCACGGAAAGCTCGCTCCCTAGCGCTTGCCCCCAACCCCTGGAGTAACTTAAAACATGGCGCCCCGAAACGGGAATTTGCGCAAATTGGCGGAGAAAGGACGCGGGGACAGAGTCGCCCCTTTCGGCCAGGGCTCCGAGGGAGGCCCCCAGGCCGGAGGCCGGGCTCAGGCTACGCGCGCCGGCCCTGGCGATGCTTCGGAGCACCGGGTGGAGCGAGCAAGTCCCCCGGAGCAGAGCGCAGTGCACTGATGGCCCAGCCCGGCGGGGGTCCCGGGGCGGGCGGCAGTGGGGAACGCGGGCCGCGCTGCGCGCTGGGCTCCCGCAATTCAGGCGGCCGCGCGGCTTCGGAGCCACGCGTCAGCCGCACAGCCCAGCGCGCCTCGCCCCCAACCTCGGGGTCGTCCTTCGCACCTCGGAAACCAGAGACCCCCTTGGAATCCTCCCTCTGCGTGAGGCAGAAAAGTTACCTGGGGTCGGCCGGGAGGCCGGGTAAGCCGGGCAAGCCGCGGTGTGGGGACCAGGTTCGGGCTCGCGTCCTGGTCGGCGGTGCGCAGGAGACGGCGTGGGGAGGAAGCCGCAGCCCAGGGCTGCTCGCCGCGGCTCCCCCCGCCCCCCTTGCAAGAGACACCGAGGCTCCGCGGAGCTGCGGCGGGGCCCACGCCCAGACAGGGTGCAAAGAAAGCCAACCTCGTCCCCACTTCCCTCTCAGGCGCGGGGGAGGGGGCCACCGCAGTACTTTAGGACAGTTATATTGGAACAGCCTTCTCCGTCCTGGCGCAGCATCAGGCTCASGGAACAACGCCTGGAGACAGTTGCCAATAGTCTTTGCATTTCCACTTAGGTAACTGCTGGGCCTCTACATCCCCTTCTCTCCTCCTCCCAGACCCCCCTGTGGGAAAGGAGGGAGGGGTATTCCGGTGACCTTCAGGTGAGTTATTTATTGGCTTAGGGACTGCAGAGTTCCCCCCCACCCTTTTAAAATTCAAACTGGATGTGGGCTCCAGAAATGTTAACAGATAAGACTTAAATTAAAGCTTGATAAAAAGAGGTTTTCTAGTCTGTTAGCAATTCAGCTACTCTGTCCAACTCAGCTACTCAGCTTTCTGCAGAAATGGAAAGAAGGGGAATCACACACTGACTTGTAGGTGAAAGAAGATGGTAACCTCAGAGTCTTGAAGCTCTAATCACCTAACCAAGGCGTATTTATATAAGAATTTTTAAGCCCTTTACAAACCACCCAGTCACTCCTTCACAAGCTCAAAGACAATAAATGATGACAGAAGGATTCACAAAATATTGTATTTACCAATGCGTGCCAAAGATGTGATGCAGAATAAATGCCTGTGGTGGAGATGAGTAGGTTGATCTTTCAGCCAGTCCTCAGGAAGTGGGGAGACTTGACCTGGGGTTCTAAGATAAGGAAGCTTCAATAGAAAAGGGAGGTGGCATTTGATTACCTTGCCTTGGAAGGATCGTCAACTTCTGTGAGGGACAAGATTGGAAAATTATCCTTACTGTATTGCTATAGAGTTTAGCAAACTACATTTTGTAGAAGACATGTTACTTCAGGAAATATTGAGTGAGAAAGTATGAATTAAGTCATTTAAAAAAAATAACCAGAGGGCACTTCAAAGATTAGAATTGATGGGCAAATACCAGCTTGGGAGGAGACTGTGGCACTGATCCAAGTGCCAAAGGTAATGAAGACCTAAACTCTTTCAAGTGATAGATAAAGTGGCATTCCAAATATTGGATACATTGGAGGGTCACCTATATTGGCCTCCTTTCAAGAAATCTACATGAATGTTAAAGACATACATATCACATGCACATGTGTGGCAGGATGTGTGTGTGTTACATAAAGATCTATGAATGAAGAAGCTCTCCTTTGAAAGTGGRCTTGAACAAACCACATTGTTTACAATAAACACAAAGTTGTCATTATCATTAGAGACACAGATGGGTTCATACTTCCATTCATTTTATTGCAGCAATTTTGTTAATTTTTTTAATTGCAAGCAAATGTTCTCTCTATGACTCATGAATCTTAATCTTTGTGGTGATAAAAATCAATGATAGTATATGAATGACTTTTTCCTAAGGGGTAAAAAAGTTAGACTACTAGGTATTCTATTTCAAAAGTGAGAAATACATAGCTGGTTATCATAATAGTTCATGAGTTCAAAAATTGGAGTAAAAAACAGCTGCTGCAGAGTTTAATAGTAAATCTAGGAAATAATTATTATGAAACTCTTTGGGCTTGACCAAGGTTCTCCACTATTCTTTTGTATTTGTTTTTTCTAGCATAGGTATGGAGAAAAATAAATACCAAACACATGAACGACACATGAACAGGGCATACCTCCCTCGGCACCTGGCTTGCATCTCTGAAACAATGCTGTCTTCCTTCTACCTTGTTAACATCATGCAGGATCCCATCTTAGTCATCTCTGTCTCCCCACAGTGCCTTACTGGGTACATTGCAAGCCAAGCACTTATTTTTGCTAAATCAATGAATGGACATTCAATAATGAAAGAACTACACTGACACTTTTCTTTAGGGTTCAGTTTTTTTCAGATAGAAAGAAAATAAAGGATTAGTTCCAGAGTTCCATGTGCTTCAATAAATTAGGGATCCATAAAACTATAAGACATATAATGTCTGCTGAGTAGAAGCAATAATGAAAACCCAAATTCTCATCAGCATAAAAAAATAACGAGATCTTCCATTTGAAAAGAGAAGGAAAGTGACAAAGTAGAAGCATGGTGGTGACAAAATTAGTTAGATGTGCTTTCTTTTCTGGAGGTCTGATTTTTCCCTATGTCCCTCTATCACAAAGAGACCCATTTAGACCCCCAGATAAGTCTTTATTCTTGTCAATGCAAAACTCATTGTGCTTTTTCAAGCAGTTAAAGACAAAAATAGTTCTTGGGCTCCCCGCCACCCCGGGGGGGAATACCTTTCACACAGTCCCAAAGTTAGTGCTGATTTGGTACCAGAGTTCAGTACTTTAGACTCCTAATTAACTACATCCAGACAACACTACTGGAATGTTATGCAAATGTTGAAATAATTTGTGAGAATTATTTCACTCCAGTTTAGGTCTTAAGATGTCCATTCTTGTCTCCTCCGCTATACTCAGGCTTGCTCTACAGCACACTAATTTTATTGATGGCCTTCCTATAATTGCTCTACTGGAAGCCTATAAGCCATCCTAACTTCTAGCCACAGTGCAGCCAATGGGTGCAGCTTTCTTCAGGTAAGATGGTGTACACCTATACCCACACTGAAGAATCAGGATCCCCTGTGAACCTCCATCCAACCACAGGCATCAACAGAATACTGACTCACTGGGACTCTGCATCCTCAATAGCAAGGATAACATCAACATGATAGCCAAGGGAAGGAAGGACAGAATTTGCAGGTTGTATTGACAGCCATGTTGTCAGCCTCATGACCTGAGAAACCATCCAAAATTTCCCCTAAATACGAGGACTGAAGGAGTAGTGAAGCTTGACCAAATCCTCCAAATGTAAGCATGTACACTCATTTGTCCTCATTTATTTAATCTCAGCTGCTGCCTTAGTAAAATGTTAACAACACTTGCAGTAACTGGTTAAGGCTGATATTATGCTCAGAATCATGTCAGGCACGAGAATCGCATTTGAAATCAGAGCAGGACTTCAGCCACAGCATTATTGGAGACCATAAATAAGAGAAATGCAGGGATGAATGCATGATTCAAAAGCAACAAGCTTATCCTTCTGAAATAAAAATTCATTTACGAGTTTCTAGGTTCTAAGAATAGTGTTAAGTTTATAGCTCATTAAGACTTCCAGATGCTATCTTCATTCTGGTTGTGTATACACTACTTCAGGGGTCTGCATACATGCAAACCACAGATGCAAAATGAAATAAAAAGCCACTGATCAGTATGAATGCAACACACACTGTCTGTACAAAGACATGTATATTAGCAAGAGCAAGGTTGGACATGCTAACCCCATTGAGAAAAGTCATTCCCATTCATCAGAAATTTGTATTTCCCTCCTTTCTTTTTATACTCTTATAATAATAACCATAAAGGTGAGGCCAATAATTATTATGGGAGTTTCATTATATTAAAATATCCTTATTAATTATTTTTACATCCTCCACTTCTAGTATATTTTAGAAATGGGCCTGAGCACTTTTAAATCGAATAATTTCTAACAATAAAATCATGGGGGTTATTGCAATGCTCAGTTCTTTATAATGTTGAAAGGCTCAATAATTCTATTCTTCTCTTAAATAAAAATGAGAATCCATAAGACCATTKGGGTGGGGGTGCTGGGAATTAAATCGAAGAGTGCTTTATCACTGAGTTATATTCCCAGACCTTTTAACTTTTTATTTTGAGACAGAGWMTCACTGAGTTGCTTAAGGCCTCACTGTTAACTTAGGGTCTCACTAAGTTGCTGAGGCTAACCTTGAACCTGCAATCCTGCTGCCTCAGCCTCCCGAGTTGCTGGGATTACAGGCATGTGCCACCAAACCTAGTACATTAAGAATGTTTTCCATTTAGGGATGGATATATATATATATATATAATGGTAAATATGAATAATGGGGGTTGGTCATCTGTAGTTTTATTCAATTCAACTTCCCAATAACATAAATTAAGAATGTTTTATACTGGGAAATTTTATATGCATGGTAAAATATAAAAGAATTGGAGTTGGTAATCTGTACTATTAAATTCAAGTTCCAAACAGATGATTGCTGCTGGGTTATGCCAAGATACTTAACATTTTAATCACTTCTCCCAAAAACGACATAAAATAAATGCCAGCGAGCCCCTCCATATTGTAAATAATCCTAATCAGCCATTGTATTTCATTCCAACAGCTATTAATAAGAATTAACAGAGGAAAGAAAGAATGAGTAAGTAGGAAGAGGCATTCTGGCTTATTAACTTTCTAGTGCTATCTTCAGGTTTACATTGCCCTCTTTAGGCAAACGCAAGATGGTTAACTTTTAGACTAAGAAGTCTACAGTAATAACTACTCTGAGGGAAAAAAACAATGTCAGTCTTGCCTCTTAATTTGATTTCTCTTTTCCAACACTTTTCTCCTTTCCAGTGGCCACATGATGTGTATTTGCCAGCGTGGATACCACCTGAAAATGGGATTTCACTGGAATCCACAGCTTCCAGAATGCTCTGGAAATCAATGAAACATCATCTTCAATGTCTTTGTCCTTTGAAATAAATTTGTTTAATAGGTCAAAGCCATTTGAAAACCAGCCATAGTGGTTCAAGATGTTATTAGGGATTTTCCTGAATATCCAAAGATGACTCATTTAAAGGTAATAGATTGGAAAAGAATACTGGAGTTTCTCAAACTAGGTTGCCTACAGTTTACTAAGTTACATATGTCAATAATAAATTTAGAAGGTGATAAACATATTCACACCATTTATATCAGAGTGCTCATTAATAATGCAAATTTATGAATTCAGCCCCAGACTAAGCAAGTTAGAAGGTCTGGGATG